AAAGGTCTTGTTTTTTAAACTATTAGTTTTTCTTTTTGAACTAATTTTTCTTTTTGAACTTTAAGATAAATAAAATAAAAAATATAAATAAGATAAAAATAAAATTAAAAATTAAAAAATAAAATAATAATATAATTTATTAAATATTGCGTGTTAAGTATTGAGCAAATTATGCACATAACGATACGAAAATTAAAATTCAGCGAATTTCTTGATTTTTTTCGTGAATTTCTTGATTTTATTTCACTCTTAACATTAATTAAAATTAAAATTAAAAGAGTTTTAAAAAAACCCGCAAAAAATTTTTTGTTTGATTTGCATTAAAGTTTTAACTAATTTTGAAAGAAAAATAAAAAATACAGTTTTTTTTTCTGAAGAACAATTTTTTTTTTCCTTCGCATCAACATCCTTTAAGAACCTTTGTTATACAAATATCCAATAGTGTAATGTATCAAAATAGTTAGTTTTAGCTTGAAGATTTTAAAATTTTAACTTTTTTTTTACACGGTAGTCAAATGTAAAACGCGCATAAACGCATTATCGCGCATTGTACTTCTCAAATCTGCGCATGAAAAATATTTTCATTAAGAAAAAACTTAAATTCTTCAACTCAAAAAATTATTTTAACGTATAGTATGTTTATTTACAATGTTTGTCAAAACATTGTAAATAAAAATACTATGTGTTAAAATAAATGTCAAAACTTGTTAAGTTTTTCCCGTTTTTGATCATTTTTTGAAGCATAGTGAGTCGATCACATTTTCGAGTCCTTATAGACTCGAAACCAACACCTAGACCCGTATTTTATCGGTCCGGACAGCTAGTTCAATATAATACGAAAAAAGGCCTTTTTTGCATAATATAGAAAACTAACTGTCCGGACCCATAAAATACGGGTCTTGGTAAGTCTATTCTACACTGACCATTTCTATACTTATTTCATACTTCAATATTTTTAGTAAGAAGTAAAACAAATATATACATTGCCTACTTTTTAAAGTTACGAATAAAAAAATAATTTTTAATATGAATAACTTTAAATGCTTTGGTAGTCGTAGCACGAACGAATAGTTAACTGCAATTCTGATAATATTACCCGAAGCGGGTATTCTGAATAACATTTAGATTACCCGCCTGAAATGTGTTGATTATTTACAATCGGTGTAAAAAGAAAAAAAATTGGAATTAGACTTAAAAATATATTTTTTTATTAACTTTGAAGAAAATAAAAGTTTAAATGTAAAAACTTCTTTGCGATAAAATAAGTTGTCTCTTTAATGTGGGTTAAACGCGCAGACTAATTACATAGAAACAGCATATTGATCATGTATGTACCACGATTTCTAAAAATATTGGAATTTTATATAAATCTAGATATTATCTAAATAAAAAAAGCTTGACCCAACTCTATCACTCGTTTATCCATAATTATATAAATTATGCAAATATTGCTTGGGGAAGTGCTGGAAAGAATAAGTTAAAACGTCTTTTTTCTTGTCAGAAACACGCAATTTGTATTATTAATTTTACCGATCGTTTTCATTCAAAACCTTTATTTAACAAAATGAGAATACTTAATATTTATGAAGTGAATTTATATAATACTCTATGTTTTGTATATATGTGGAAAAATAACTTATTTTATCTCCATACGTTTTTAAAAATTATTTTTACTTTGAAGCCAAACAATAAGTATACACTGAGAAATAATAATTTGCTAAACCAAGTTTTATGTCGAACCAAGTTTAATCAGCTTTGTATTAATTATCGTGCACCTAATCTTTGAAATAAAGTTATTTTGCAAAATTTTGATCTGCCTTTCTCTTTTCCTGCTTTAAACTAAGCTTAAAAATCTAATTCTTTCTATGGAGAACGTTTTTCTGTATTACTAAGAGTATTTTGGGTTAGTCTACCTATTATTAGTTGCATTCAAATTGTTCTGAAACTGATAGCTATGAATAAATGTATAAATATTTATTATTGTATTGTTGTTAAATATTTTATATTGCTAGTATGTATAAATTTTCAAGTTTATTTTATTTTTTGTTTAGTATTTTGAAAAAAAAAAAAAAATTATTACGGTTTTTATAACACGGCTTAGTAAAAATAAAAAATAAAAAAATAAATTATGTTTAAATGTGTTTGTGTATCTGTGTATGTATTTATGTATGATAAATACATACTCTCCTCCCCCCCCCCCCCCACCCATCTAAAACTTCTTGGCAATTGTTATCGATTAAAAAAGGATTCGGTGATACCACCTATGATGGCTTGTATGGTAAAGATGCAAACACAATATATACTTAAAAAAAAAAAAAAAAACTATATTAGAACAAGAGCTAATTAAAAACAAGAATGACGACCCTGACCAGATTTTATTTTCTACAATTTTAATGCAAGAAATGAAATTCAGGGGCGGATCCAGCATTTTTTGGTGTTTGAGATAGCTAACTTCCAGACATGGAGCAAACTCCAAACATTTATATGTTTATACTTATATCAAATAAGGATGGTTTGCAAAAAATTGCGATGATTGGAGCCTGGGAACAAAAAAGCCCCAAAATTTGAGACGTACCTGCCCCAAACGTGAGACCAACAAGTTGATAAAATGTTTTTTGTACTATTCTCAACAAGACTTACATTTATTCATAAATTTTAAATTTCATAGTAAAATATTTCAGCGTTCAAAAATTATGACCATGTAAAGTTTGAATCCCCCTCAATTCGAGGGGGTTACAATTTTTATATGGTCATAATTTTTGAGCGCTAAAATATTTTACAATGGAATTTAAATTTTATTGATAAATATAAGTCTTGTTGAGAATAGTACAAAAAATATTTTATCAACTTGTTGCTCTCACGTTTGGGGCAGGTACGTCTCAAATTTTGGGGCTTTTTTTTTCCCAGGCTCCAATCATCGCAATTTTTTGCAAACCATCCTTATTTGACATAAGTATAAACATATAAATGTTTGGAGTTTGCTCCATGTCTGGAAGTTAGCTATCTCAAACACCAAAAAATGCTGGATCCGCCCCTGCAATTATTATTATTATTATTATTTTTTTTTTAATCTAATCGATGAAAACGGATTTATATTAACAACACCAAAACACTATGACGTCATCAAACCACATTAATAATTATACTAAAGTATATTAATTATTTTTAACTATTCTTAGATAAAGTATTGCAACGGTTTATGTAATTGTTTATCGAAACAAATCCAATTCAAAAGTGAAAAACATTTACAAAAAATCAATAAAAATGAATATATTTAAAGTTTCCGCATTCTTTTTTCCTAATATTTATTTCATTCACTATTTTTAACGTCAGTGCTGCGATCCTTTCTCGTCATTAACTTGGGTTAATGGGGCTGTGAGTACAGTGTTAATCACTCTCGAATAAGCATTAACACTAAGTTGCCTAATATATTATATTATGACTAAGGCAAACAAAATTATATGTATTTTTTATAGACTGCTAAAAATTAGATTTATGTAATGATATCCTTAAATCAAAGTATAACTTTTTCAATGCTAAAAAGCCAAGTTGTCTTAAAGTTTTTTAACACTCCTTTTGCCACAGTTTTAAGGAAATCTGATTATTTTTTCGGTGTTTTTTTTGTTTTTTGTTTTGGTATATAAAAGCGGCTTTGGTACCAAATAACCGAACGACAATTTTAAGGAACGTACATTATAGAAAAAGAAAGGCATTTATATACAAAAACAAACCTAAAGTTGAGTTGAAAAAATTGTGTTTAGGGTGCGCTAATAATTAATTCCAATATTATATTACATCTGTATTAAAAGTGCGAAACTTTAAAATGCTGCTGTGTAGCATGAAATAGTAAATTAAGATGGTTCCGAGTATTTTCTGGCTTGTCTGAGGGAAGACTTTAAGGTTAAATGAAATCATCGAGTTACCCTTGATCCTAACCAGCCTATCCTCCCCTATGCCATCATAGGAGCAGTGGTTGCCTATGATGGCATACTTGTGTTTTTTTTAAAAATAGGAATAACTTATAAAAAAAACAAAACTGATGAAAAATCCGAGGGTTATTATTGTTCTACTTGTAACAAGGAATGTATCTATAATCAAAACTTTAATTATTGGTCTTCAGGATACTGAATAATGAAGCTTCAAAGTTAAGTATGCTACCATAGGCGCCTTTCCCCTAATAGTTAAATAAAAATGAGTTAAACAGTTATAAAACTTTTTCGTTGCAATCATGTTTCCCAAAAATACAAAGATATTTAGCATACACATAAACTTATAATGCAAAAAAAAAAAAAAAACAATATTACATTTTTATTGTATTTTTTAGTAAATTAAATAAAACAACAAACAAAAATATTTTTTTCCAATTTTTATAAATATAAAGTACCAAATTTATTCTCAGCACGATCGTCCACGCGATATATTTAACTTTAACACTAGTACCAATGTGTGTAAAAAAGAAGAAGTTTTATGAAAATTTTTTATCTCTAAGATAGATTATAAAGTTAGGTTATAGTCGTCAATACTTAAAATATTAATTTTTAGTAAAGCAATCGAATGTTTAATATTTGCTGCTGATAATTAATAAAATACTTTAATAAAATGCTTTAATAACGTAAACTACTCAAAAGATTTTATTTTGTTTAATTGCCTAATTATATTGTTTTATATCATTAGAAACATTTAGGAGATTATTCAAAAAACTAGTAACACTAGGATGAGTTTGATCTTAATCAATTTGATCATCATTAAGTTTTCTTCATAAAAAATCCTGATCATTTTTTACTTATCATTATATACGTTTCCAAAATAATTTAGAATACTAGAAGCAATCTGACAAAGTTTTTCTATACACAAGAGTTTGCATATCTCTAGACTCTGATCATAATACGTAACCACCTAATCATATTGTCCTTTTGCTTCAGAAATAATACTTAATCATCTAATCATATTGTCCTTTTGCTTCAGAAATAATACTTAATCACCTAATCATATTGTCCTTTGCTTCAGAAATAATACTTAATCACCTAATTATACTGTCCTTTTGCTTCAGAAATAATACTTAATCACCTAATCATATTGTCCTTTTGCTTCAGAAATAATGCTTAATCACCTAATTATACTGTCCTTTTGCTTCAGAAATAATACTTAATCACCTAATCATATTGTCCTTTTGCTTCAGAAATAATGCTTAATCACCTAATCATATTGTCCTTTTGCTTCAGAAATACTCCCAAAGATTCGTTATAAATTAGCAACTCAGGGATGAAGTTGAGCTTTATTGATAAGTTTGTATATCTCCTCATAATAGATAATTGCTTCATCGTATTGTCTTTTAGTATTTTAAATGTTCCCTAGATTATTTAAAAAGCAAGATATGAATAAGGTTCCCATTTACAGATAAATTTGTATATCTCTAGGATTTTCTCATAATACTTAATTGGATAATCATATACTCCATTAGTATTATAAACATTAACTAAATTATTTAGGGGATTAAAAATTTCCAAGATTGATCCTGATAAATCGGTTTATTCATCTTTAAGCTCTTTTTATATTACTAAATTTCCTCATAATATTGTTCTTTAACATTATAAACGTTGCTAGATTATTTAAAGAATCACGACAGAATGATGTTGTTGATCTCGTTTGATCAGTTTTTTATTCCGGACTTTCTTCAAAAGACTTAACTGCCATATTGTTTTTTAGCATTATAAGCATTCACTAAATAGTTTAAAGTAAAAGCAGCAATTGTATTTGTATTTATATTTTTTAAAGATGTGTTTGTTTATATCAAGGTTTTACGTATTCGTTGATTACCTGATAATGTTGGTATAAAGCAATATTAATGTTCCCTAGATTATTTAAAGAATCAGCAATATTTGAATGAGGTTTTTTTATAGATGAGTTTGTGTATCTTCAGGCTCAACTCAATACGTAGTTGTGTGGTCATATTTTCTTTTAGCATCACAAACGCTCCATAGATTATATAAAGAATTCACTAAGCTTGGGTGAGATTGACTTTGATGGATGAGTATATCTACCTCTAGTCTTTCCTCATAGTACATAAATGCCTGATCATATTGACATCTGTCAATAGAAACATTACCTAAGTTATCTAAAATAATAGTCACCTAAGTTATCTAAAATAATAGTTTAATTTGAATACCTTTAGACTTTTTCATAATCCTTAATCACCTGCTGCCGTATTCACATTTCTAAGTTAAGCCTAACGGAGCTTTTGTCTGAAATTTCATTACAATATTTCAAAGTAAAGAAATGACAAAAACTTTATTTAAATTTGTTTACTAAAATAAAACATTTATGTATAAAAACTATATTTTTAAAGAATTTTCTTCTTAATATAGTTAAAAAGAAACTTTTGACCAACACTCCTTTAAGCTTAACGGAAAGATAAGAATACGGCTCCTGGTCATACTGTTTTTTAGCATTATAAACCCTTTGATTATAAAAAGAACTAAGCAACACTAGGGTAATGTTTATCTTGACGGACGAATTTGCATATCTTAATTTCTCTTCTCATAGTACTATATTATGTCTGATCAATTTGTCCATTATTCTGGTAAGCTTCCTAACAATATTGATAAAGCAAGTAACATTTGGATAAGATCCTTCTTTATAGATGAGTTTGTATATTAGCCTCTTCTCATAGTTGTTTAATGCCTGGTCATGTTGTCTTATATAAACGTTCACTAGACTATTTAATGAATTAGCAACACTAGAGTGAGGTTGATCTTGGCTGAGCAGTGTTCATCTAAAGGTTTTCATTATGATTATTAATTGGTTGATCATGTCTTAAATAATCTAGACTTTGCTTAGACTATAATAGTATAGGCGACGAAAATTTTTATTATGATCAGATATAGAAGGTATATGCATTGAAATAACCTCAGAACAGTCAATTTCCTTCGCTTTTTCTGTTAGCCGTATAATGGCTTTTATCTCTTTGTTAATCAATAAATCACAATTTTTTTTATCTTCAATTTAATTATAAAGAAACTCTATATCCTTGCATTGCATTGATAGTCATTAAAAAGCTTCAGTTCGCATTACACGTAGCACACACTTTTTAGTATATATAGCAAGAGCTTATTTACATGACTTACTTAATTTCTCTCTTTACGCACATAGTTCATCACCCATGCAACTTTTTTTATATGCTTTGTAATTATCTATTTTTCCAAGTGGTTTTTTGATTCCTAGATCAAATTTCACTGTCATATTATTTTAGATATATACTTTTTTCTAACTTGATAAACTTAAAGTTTATTATGAGGTTATAAATGTCCATACATATCTTAGAATCATTACTCTGTTTGTATCTTAATATTTTATTCCATCTCTTTTAATTATTAGCCTTTACTTGTTAATGATAATGTTCTATCTTTTTCTCTTGATTAGTTTTGTTTAGAAATGCCAGTAAATGAACTTTACTTGTGTAAACTTCTTGTTGAACAACATGCATTTTCTTTTTGTTTCCACCAACTACATAAAATACCACCAGATTTTTTATGGTTTTATGTTGATGTGGATCAACTTTTCATTGTTTTATTAAAAAAAATTATTCTAATTTCTTATTAATTTTTTGTTTTGCCTTTCATTTAATAAAGCAATAATATATTGATAAATTATTTTTACCTTCAGCTTGCTCCTTAACTCTACTAACTTAATGGTTGCATAGTCTATACCATAAAGGAATATTAACAGATTCTTTAATTCTGCTTGAATCTTTATATTGACTAGTTGCTTGTTTAGAGTTACTTGTTTATATATTTATCTAGTTGCTTTAGTTGACCAACTTTGATACTGTTGCTTTCTTTTGATTATATTTTTTTTTACTTTTTTTATTATTAGCCTTGCTTTTATTGTTGGTATAGCAACATATTTTACAGATTTTATATATGAATTTTCCTCTACATGAGTTTCCTTAAACGTAACTTGCTATTTAAAGAGCTGATAATTTAGATTGTGTTCTCCAAATATTATTTGTAGAAATGATAGCTGTGAAAAGCGTAACTGCTCTGTGCATTGCAGATAATGTGCTGATATAGTTATAGCTATTTTAGGTTAGCCTTTTCACAAGCTTATCATTAATAATTATTTTGCAAGATGTAGCATCTACCTTATTTTGTCATCCATTAATAAAAAGATTTATATTGTAAGAAAATAATATTTTGGCTGTGCAATTTTTTTGGATACCTTTACCAGTATTAATTCATTAAAAAAAAATTTACAATCATGTCTCTTTTTAGAAGCAGGTTGTTTTGATATATCAAAGAAAAAATATAACTGAAGATTTTTAGCATTATCTATAGCTTTCGAATTCGAAACGTAATAAGATTTTTTATCTTCTCCAAATAAGTTGTTAAGAAGAAATTTATAGCCAGCAGCATCATTATTCTTCTTAAATCCTCCATGTTGGTACCTAATAGTACCGTTAAAATTACTATCAATATTTTCTCAACAAACGCGTATTTCTCCACGATAAAAGATTCACCCTAGAAATTTTAGATATTTTTATATCACCCATTTTTGCTTTGATTAAAAATGCAAACACTTCAGCATAGCTATATAGTTAGATTGTTAAAATGTATATTTTTACAGTTTGACTAGTGATAATAAGAAAAATAACTTGGAAAGTTGTAAAAATAAGTTGATAGTTGCAACAATATATCACGCTACTATCAACAAATAACAAGAATGAGGAAAATTAGAAAAAGTGACGGAGGATTCTCAGTTTAATAAAGCCTAAAAGACCGAGCAAAGATTTCTTTCACATATGGTCAAATTCCAGGTTACATAGATCAGGTTTTAAGTTCAAGTTCAAGTTTAACAAAGACTTTGTTAAACTTAGACATTTTAAATATTTTAAAGCTTTTCTATGGTTCAGACAGTTGTGTGTTTGCATGTAGCTCATTACGTCAGTTGATAACTGCATATAATATTCCCTAATGCTCACTCTTCCAAATTCTAGCAAGTGATGCACCATATTTTAGAAAGACAGGAATTTTAAGGCTGCATAGAGCAAAAAGATATACACTAACTCATTACATAGATTATTCAATCATTTAGTGATAAATCTGGATTTGTTGCAGATAAAGCATTGTCAAAAAAAATTTTATTTATGTTAAAATTATGTACTAACTTTGTGGTTAGGTGTAGATGAATCAATTGGATCAATTACAGGTTCTATTTCCTGAACATTATTAGGAAATAATGGCAATACTTCAGGGCAATATTCTTGAGCATAATTAGTTATAGACTTACCACTTTGATCCTTGATAGTCACATCATACATTGCAAGAAATTCTTGCACTATTTCTAGCTTAGTTGCTGTGTTAACATCTCTACTTCCTAATAAACAATGTAATGGTGTCCTGCCTTCAGCATTTTGGGGATTAATGCTAGCTCCGTGATGTAGTAACAATTTCATTGCTTCTTTATGACCACTATAATGTGCCATATGCATTGGTGTATCACCATTAAACATTGGTTTATTGGCATCAGCTCCTCTATTAAGTAACAAATCAACCATTTTCGTATTTATTGGTTGTCCATTAACTCCTAAAGAATAATATAAGGGGGTAATTTGATCTTGATTGTTATTAGGCTTATTAATATCAACCTTTCCTAAAGTTAATGTTAAGACCATATCAATATTTTCTTTAATTACTGCTTGTATTAATGGGGTGGAGTTCATGAATAATGGTATGTTATCCAGATCAATCCCAGCATTAATTAATTCTTTTACCTTATTTGTATTTCCTTCGGCTACAGCTAACCATAATTTAAAACTTGTTTCATTTACAGACCTAAGTTTTAGCATATCATCATTGATTAATTGTATCATCTTTCGATCTTCTTTTGGAGTTAATATCAAAGCAAGCTTAAACCAGCACTGTAATTTTACCAAGTCAGTTAATCCCTTTTGAATGAGCTTATAAAATATAAACTGATTAAAAGCTTTGTAATTCGAAAAATTAAATCCTTGATAAATCGTTATAAGTTCTAAAATAATTTCATGATCCAAGGAATTTGTTTTAATAAAATTCATAATTGATTGCATTGTAAGAATATGTACTTCTTTATAATAAGCATTTACAAAGCTGTGCGGAAAATTTGACATAATACGTAAAGTATGAACACAACATTTTATTGTTTTCTCAAAATTTTGAGTTGCATTGTAACTTAATGCAAGATTCATATAAATATTAGAAATATCTAGAGGAGACTTATCTGCGTAAATACATTTTCTCATCTCTAGACAACGAATACCGTAACTTAACGATTCGTTATAATTTTTTTTGTGATAGTAGGCTATTCCGATAGCATTTAATATATTTGCAACTTCGATATCTGGTTCTTTACTGTTAACAAGTTTTCGGACCTTTAAACCTTCTTGAAAACATTCTATTGCTTTGTCATATTCTATAATATGCATGTAGGCGTTTCCTAACTGTTTAAGAGAATCAAACACTTCTTTTAAAGAAGTTTTATTACTGTAGATGTTATTCAATAATTCAAAACATTGATCATAATATTTTTTAGCTTCCTTAAAGTTTTTTTCAATAGCACAAACATTGCCTAACCCTTTTAGGGCATTAGACATCTCATAGCAAGGTTTGCCATTAGGAATTAACTTTACCATTTCTAAACTTTCATTATAAAAGTTTATAGCTGATATATTTTCAGAACTTTTTGCATGGCAGTTCGCTATATTAATTAATATCTTGATAATATCTTCATGTGGTTGGCAATTATAAATAAATTTAAAAACTTTTAAACTTTCTTTTAAAAACTTAATTGATGTATTGTAGTTGCCTTTATTATAGTGAGATAAACCTAAATAATTCAACGTTTGTGCCATGCTAATGCTTTTAGTGTCTACCACGTTATATTTTCTTATTTCTACACACTCATTTAAGTACTCTATGGCTTCGTCAAATTTCTCAGATTCATAATAAGCGATACCAAGTTCCGTTAGGCAGTTAGTAAGATCTTGGGTAGGTTTATTTTTATTTATGATTCTTTCTATTGCTAAACATTCGGTTAAACATTTAATTACCTCGCCTAATTTTTGTATTTTTTTATAAGTTAGAGCTAGATTAAATAAACAATCTCTAATTGGTGGAAATGGATAATTTTTATGTATAACTTTTAGAATTTTTAAGCTTTCTTTATAGTACTCAATTGCTTGATCAAATTTTTGCATATTATTGTGAATGTTACCTAAATTAAAAAGGCAGTCAGAAATAGCTGGAGAAGGCTCATCCTTATGTATAGTTCTTTGAAGTTTCAAACCTTTAGTTAAGCATTCAACCGCTTTATCAAATTGACCAAGATTGTTATATATTACTCCCATATTATTGAGTAAATCAATAGTTATAAAATGAGGCTCACCTTTAAATAGATTTTTGATTATTTTAAAAGATTTATTATAGTGACTAATAGCATTTTTATATTCTTTTTTCCCATTATAACAGTTAGCTAGGTTGATATACGTTATTGCAATACCAAGATTTATTGAGTTTGGACAATGGAGTTTGAAAATATTTAAACTCTTTGAATGTAGTTCAATCGCTTTATCAAATTCTTTTATATCGTGGTATACTATTCCCATGTTGTTAAAAATTCCAGCACGATCATCTTCATGTTCTGTAAACTCTAAGGCTTTGTTGTAATAACTTATTGCTTTGTCATACTTTTTTGAAAACTTGTAAAGGTCACCTAAATTCACTAAAACATCTCTATATAAGTTCTTATTACAAATAAGTTCCGATATCTTTAAACAATCTTTTAAATGAATAATAGCTTGCCGTTTATTTCCAAATTCAATATAAATTTTTTGAAGTGTACGTTTCAACACATAAACTCTAATTAAATGATGTTCATTACTGAGTACATTATATTGATTTTCTTGTAAATTTAACCATTTCTCTAAATAAACTTCTGCCGTTTTGTAGTTGACCAACCTATAACAAATTAGTCCTTTTATTGCGTAACCATTATCATAAAATGTATTACCCTTAAAAAAGCTGTTTTTTTTATCTTGCTCTAACTTTTTCTTGGAGTAATTAATACAAAATTTCTCTAACATCTCATATAGAGGTATTGCTGTATAAAAATATTGAAATAACCCTCCTTCTTCTTCTAGATCTTCCTCAGATAAATGAAATATTTTTTGAGCTTGTTCTTTAAGTTCAGATTCCGTTTTAGCTGGTTTAGGATATATAGCCATATCATCCTTTTGCGCTTTATGGTGGGAATAGGTCTTTAATCGAAGGGTAGTGGCAAAAGTTATAGCATTTTTTAAGTTTGATGCTGCTTCTAGGTTAATTATTCCTTGCTCTGCTAATTTATCCACTGTATCCCAACAACTATCTCCTTCAATACCAAAATACAGACCAAGGTTGTACACCATTCGATCAGGTAACCGGTAGATCTCCTGCTTTACGTCAAATAATTTGCCCTCCGTGTCAAACAATTTAGGTTGCAACTTATCTAAATCACTTTTAAATAAAATTTCTTTTGGTTTTAAACTCGATACTTTCTGAAGATAGTTAAATTCCACCGCTCCCTCCTTTAGTAGTTTAATTGCTCTTACTTCACAGTTTAATCTGCCTAGTGGATCATCTTCGTTTTTACTATGCAAATATTCAGTCACTTTAGCTTTATAAGTTTTTACAAGTTCCACATCTCCATGCACATAACAAACGTTTTCAAGTATATATGGTAGATTCTTATCTCTATGACTGGCTTTATCTCCCTCATTACGTACGTAATACATCATCCATTCCACTGTTTTTATAAGTTCATATGGTTTATCTATTCTTCCAAGAGGTGTTTTGCCTCCGAGATCAAAGTTAACCGCTACATGTACGAGGTGGGCCATATCTAAATCATATTTACTGGTAGGAATAATACTCTCACCAAGATTGATTATCTTAAAATTTACGAAGTAACTTAAGTTCTTAAAATAATCTCTTACCTTGGGATCTATACTGTGTTTGTACTCCTCATTCTCGGTAAGAATAGCAAACTCTAAATCTGAATATGGCGTCATTTGCTTTAGTGCCATTGAACCGAGTCCTAATAATGCGTATTTACAGGGTGGTATTATAGCCATTTGTTGTTCACTATCATTATATAACTTCGCTAGAAACTTTTTCATTTCACTTGCGGTTTCATCAAACAAAGCTCTCGCAGTGCTCACATACAACTCCTGATATTTTACTTTACTTTCTTGCTTTTCAATCTTTACTTGTTGTCGATAATATTCTACTTTTTGCATCCCTTTATCAATTTTGTTTCGCAATACTAATAATAGGTCTTTATTTGTCTTTGTTTCTTCTTGAACAACCGGTATTTTTTCTTGATCTCCACCGATTGTGGAGAATATTAGCTGTTGTAAATGGGTTAGTTTCTTTAGTGGATTTAGTTTTTCTTGTTTTGTAAATTCATTTTTATCTTTTGTACTTATCAATTTTTCGTTTAGCTTTTCATCTAATATTGTAATAATATATTGATAAAATATTGCAGTTTCGGTATAATATTTTAGTTCGCCACTTAGCTCTCCTAGGTTGATTGTTAAATAGCCTAAATCTTTAAAGACTATTAGCAAATCCTTTAACTCTTCTAGACTATTTTTGTAAGCAAGTTGCTGGACCAAAGGTTTATAGTGTTCTTTCTCTAGTTGCTTTAGTAGATTAATTTTGACAATGTTACTTTCTTCTGAACTTACTATTTGTTCTACTTTTTTTCTTACTTCTCCGATGATTAGTTTTCTTTCTATTGGTGGTCTTGCAACGTAATCTAAAGATTCGATATATGAATTCTCCTCTAAATGAGTATCTATAAGTGTAACTTGCTGTTTAAATAGCTGATAATTTAGATTTTCTTCTCCCAAATTTTCTTGTAGAAAAGTAAGCTGTGATAAACGTAACTGCTCTGCACCTTGTGGATAAGGTGCTGATATATTAAGGCTGCTGTTGGTTATTCTTTTCACAAGTTCATCAGCTACAATTATGCCGCAGGATGTTTCATCTGATATAGTTTGTCTTGCATTAGTAAAAGGACTTAACAAGCTCGTTATAGATGTTACCTGCAAGCCAGTTTTTTCTATGATTTTGAGTAATGTAGCCTTAAGTATGCTAAAGCTTTCCTTTGATAACTGCCCGCCACCGTAAGGATTATGGGCGTATAATACTACTGAAACATTATCACCATTTTTATCTATAACAATTTCTCCAGTAAGCCAGTGAATATTAGTGACATTGAAAGGAAACAATATTTTTGCTTTGCAACTTTTTTCTAACAATATTACTGGTAATAATTCATCAAAAACATCCTTGCGATCATCTCTTTTCTCATGAGTAGGTTGTTTTGATTTATCAAAGAAAAAATCTAGTGGAAGTTTACCAGCACTATCTACTGCTCCCAAATATAAAACATAATAAGAATTGTTACCTACTCCGAATTTGTTGTTAAGAAGAAACTTATAGTCAGTTGCATCATCATCCTTCTTAAATCCTCCAAGTTGGTACTTGATAATATTGTTAACGTAAGTATCAATATTTTCTTTTCTGTACAGGTATTGAAGATTCATTCTACAACTTTTTGAAATTTTTTCCTAAAAATTAGTTAAACTGATAATAAGGATAAATATATATGAAATTTTGATATATTGGTATTATATATTTATTATGATTCCTACGATAATTTAATGTAGTGTTAAATAGACTTATAATAACATAAACTTACATAAATTAACATAAGTTAATATTTTTGGTAATAATAAGAAAAAGAGTATTTTAAAAAAAGTTGCTGGTTTCGAAAGTACCACACTACAAAGAAAAACTAACAAAATCTAAAAAAGTGTTTGTGAAAAATTATTTTTGGTTTAATAAAGAGCGGTTAGTCTTTATTAAAAGTTACCATGTTATCAAGCAACCGAACTACCATGTTAATATCATTTTTATTTGTTCACTAATAATCTAAACTTAAAAGTATTAAAAAAGAGTAATGAAACAAAAAGTTAACCGATACCATTTATTCTCATTACTTCTGTGTTGTTAATTATAGTCTTACTCCATCCCCTGTTTATCAGCAAAAAAGTTATTTGGACCAAATTGTTTTACCAGATTTTAGCTAAGAAGAGTTTTTTGAAGAAAAACTCTTTAAAATGGAACGCCCAAAATCCAAACTTTTTACTTGTATTCTTGTGTGCTAGCAATGTCTAGCTTCTGTCAAGTACATTTTTACCTAGAATGGATTGATAATGTGTCTACATAGAGCTCGAATGTCAGACTCATTACTCAAGGTTTTTATATTTCTCAACAGTGAAATCTATTGATCAAAATGAATCATAACTTTTAAAAACATTGAAATAACTTTTAGCTTTTGGAAGGTTAAGAAAACATTTAGGGTCTTGGTTTTGCATCATGCGTTCTTGCAAGAATGCATTATGCAAAACCAAGACCTGTAGATATAAAACTAAGGCATATAAAGCCATGGCTTTGCTACACGTGTCTGTGGAATTTCTCTATGTAAAAAGCATGATACGAGTTTAAGAAGTCTATAGACTAAAAAAATCTGTGAATAAATGATGTCAAGATCATTTTGTTATAATTTATCAATTTAATAACTTTTTTTTTATCCATACATTTACTTTTACAACTTCAAGAAAACTTCAATAAAATTAAATGTTAAGAAAGTAAAAATTTGTTTTTTTAAAAATAATAAGCATGTAAAGGGTTTCGGTTTAATCCAGTCAGCTTTTATCGAATCTTTTTTTTAGAGTACATTTTTCAACTTTTTCAGTTCAATAATTTATAACGTTAAAAGTAATTTTGAATAGGGTGGACAGTAATAGAGAGCAAGATTTTCAAAGTTCTCTCTATTCAGTGTCGTGGCTACTAGGTCCGAGTCTCTCCAACTTCCTTCATCCGTAATCTTTCATAAGAGGGGTGTGGGAAAGCCTAGCCACTGCTCTGTCTCTATTACTTTCTACCTAATAGAGATTTAACTAATATTAATTAATTCTTTTTTAATATCCATTCTACTCGTATTTTCAAAAGTCTTGGATAGACTTTTTTTATAAAACAGTTTATAATCATTTATCTATTAATAATTAGATATATAGCAATCCATACAGCTATAAAAAAAAATAAATAAACAAAGTACCCAGCTCTCTAGTTTGCAAGAGCTATAAATAACTAGAATAATAGCAAGAGCTATAAATAACTCGTTCGAAAGTTCCTAATATAGAATAAGGGTTTTTACAAAAAAAAAAACTTATTCTATATTAAGAATAATTGTGGGATAATTTTATTCAATCATCGTTAAAGTCGAGCGAATGTCGGGAAAACAACGAACTGAAATACTTTACGGCGACCTTTTGAGATTTAGAATGTAATAATTAGGTTATTATACGACTATGTTGAAATTTTTATATTGATAAATAAATAGGTAATATTGTTTATTTAAGTAAAAAAATATTTAATGATGGTAGTTAGTGAATATGTATAGTAAAAAGTAGAGATATAAAAAAAATTATGGTTATAGTTGTGATCAAACATTTTGTGCGCGAAAATTACTTTTTCTGAAATGAAAGCAAAGTTCAATTCGATTAAAGATTTGTTAACACATTTAGATAGAATTCGAATAATACAGGCAGATCCTAGGAACACAATGCACACCTAATTAAAATTTAATGGTAAGGAATTAATTGTTTAGAGACTGGAGTTTTATGCATAAATTTTTTTTTGTAATAGATAAAGTAAACATCATACAAATAATAATAAAAGGGATCAGATTTACGCAAGTTTAGATGTATCACGTTGGGTTGAAGATCGGTAATAAAAATAATATATTATCAATAGTTTTTTATGTATGCATGTATACATGTATGTATGTATGTATGTATGTATGTATGTATGTATGTATGTATGTATGTATGTATGTATGTATGTATGTATGTATGTATGTATGTATGTATGTATGTATGTATGTATGTATGTATGTATGTATGTATGTATGTATGTATGTATTAGGGGTGGAAGTTCAGGTTAGTTTTAGTCAAACTAAAGATACTTAACTAAATTTTTAGTCTAACTAAAATTAGTTAACTAACTTTTTAGTTAACTAAAATTAGTCGACTAACTTATTAGTTAACTAAAATTACGCGACTAACTTTTTAGTTAACTAAAATTACCCGACTAACTTTTTAGTTAACTAAAATTACCCGACTAACTTTTTAGTTAACTAAAATTACCCGACTAACTTTCTAGTTAACCAAAATTACCCGACTAACTTTCTAGCTAACTAAAATTACCCGATTAACTTTTTAGCTAACTAAAATTAAGCAACTAACTTTTTAGTCTAACTAAAATTAGTCGACTAACTTTTTAGTTAACTCAAGTTAGTCGACTAAATATTTAGTGTAACTAAATTTAGTCGACTAAAGCAAGATTTAGTGCTTGAAAAAAGAAATAATCTTTCGCATAAAAATTTTACACACGAGGAAGCATTATTAAGGCGATAAATATTATTTTATCGAAATTAAACACTTTACTAGTTGTGAATCCTAGAGCCCACTCGAACTAAACTGTTATTTAAAAGAAATGTTTTAAACAAAATTCGATTGTTTTAATTTTTTCCCAGCTCGGAGACAACTGCCTATGAAGTTGTTGCAACTGTTTATAAACACCCAATCAGCATGGAATATACAAATAATGCCCTTTAGTCAATTACATCAAATTTGGTACGCTTATTGAACGTTTAACTTATATTTTTTATGTGCTGCTTCTTATAGGAAGTGTGCAATAACAATTGCAAATCAAAAATAATTTCTCTTGTCAAGGCCGTACCGACGTGAGTATGGGCACCTTACCGGGGTTACAACATTCTGTCGGTTTTGTCGGTAATTTAGAAAATTTGAGACTCAATCGGTTAAAACTGCAACTTGGCTTTTAAATAAAAAAAAAGCCCTACTTTGGTGAGATTTTTATGGTAAAAAAGCTTATTTCATTTGCACCCCCTCCCCCTACGTCTTCGTTGTTCAATACAGCCCTGTCCCCTGCTGTATTATAGGAATAGATTCAATCTCTAATTTTCACAACAAATCTATGACTCCCCCTCCCCACCTCTTCAAATATCAACCTCTCCTAACGGCTATTACAACCCGCAAACACTATAGTAAGGCAGGCGAAAGTATTGACATGAACCCAAAAGAAAATCGTTAAATAAGTTATTATGAATTTATTTTTTTTGCTTTCAGAGTATAGTTGTTCGTCGGTTGGCGATACATGCAAAATTTAAAAGGAAAATTGGTATTTGCATTTTTGAATGCAATATCCGCAATATAAGTTGTTCAATAGTGTATAAAATGTATTAAATAAAACTTAACTGTTGAATAACGAAAACATTTTATTAAGTAACTGCGGTCGCTTTTAAAACCAGGAAATTGTTTATGACATTTTAATTACTTGAAAAATGCAATACGCACTTTAAACCACGTGTAAAACCGGGTCGAAACAATTATAAATTAAAATTCAATAACTTTTTTATTATATTTATTTTTATATTTTTTCATTAGATAGATGTTTAAAAAAATACTAAAGAATATATAAATAAATATAAAAAAAAAACAACCAAACTATTAAAATAATAAAGGTAAAAAAGTTTGGTGTTTTAGGCAACATTATAATAAAACCGCACGCTCAAGAACATTAAAATCACACATTAATTTTTTTAATTTTCATTTTTTTCTTTATCTTTTTTTTTTTAACACATTTTAAATAAAAAAAACTATATTAATTTTTTAATTTTTTGTATCAAAAAAAAAAAAAAAAATCAGTTTTACTCAAAAGAGTTCGAATACTAAATTTAATAATATTTCTTTTAGAACAATAAATATATTAAAAAATATTTATTACAAGAAAAAACTTCAGTATTATATTTAATGAATTTAAACTAAATTAAAAAATTCCAAATTTTCGTACAAAAACATCAATATTTGAAAACATTCAGTTGTTATTCTGTTTTGCTTTGCATATGTAAGTATAAGTTTGCATACGTTTCGCTTTGCATGCATAAGTGTTTAATGCCTCAGAGAAAAGGTGTTCACTTAGTGCACTGGTAGCAGGCGTACATAAAATCATTGTTGAAATACATTATTGGATATACATGTTAATTTTGATACCAAAAGTGTAAAAACATTTTGCTCATTTACTGACAATTTTATATAACCACTGATTTCTCTTTTTAAATCTAAACTTATTATTTTGTCCCTATCGTTTCTGAAATATCATCTTCATCGTCAAATGATAACTTAAATTTTTTTAATTTGTTTGTCACCTTTTTAAATAGAATTATATCACAAACTTTTTTTGTTTAATGAAATTTCGACAAAAATTCTCTAACACATTTAAAAAAAATTTTTTCCTTGTACTTTTCAAAGAATTGAAAACTTTTATAATTTGGATCCAAAAAAGTGGCACATAATAAAACCAAGTAATTGTAATATACTGTAGCTTACAGGGCCGGCACAAGTAGGTAACACGTAGAGAGTGCCGTTAAAATTTTACTTACTAGAAATAGGAAAAAAAAAATCTTGTTTTTATTTACCAA